TACTCCTGTGATGGTCTGGCCCAAAGGAGAGGTCCTCTCTGGTGAAGAGATGGCCAGGAAGAAGTAGCAGTGAGCCACTAGCTTGGGAGGAAGGCATTGTACAGGGCCAGACAGGGGCTTGCTGGGAAGAGAAGGTATCCCAGAGGAGGAGGGCTCTGCCCTGCCCTGCTCTCCTGCCTGCCTCCCTTTGGCCGGCACCAGCCTGAGTGACCTGATTTGGGATCCCCAGCTCAAAGTACAGAGCCTGGTGTGTACCTAGAAGGCCCTTAATAATTGTTCATTGATTGACTGATCGACAGCCGTGTGTGTAGGGTGGGGGCCTGTTCTCCACTGGGCATCCTCCACTATGGTCTGGGGTGCCCTGCTCAGCACAGGGAGCTGAACTTTGTGCATGTATTATTATTATTATTGTTATTTTTTGTTGTTTTTGTTTTTTGGTGAGGCAGTCGGAGTTAAGTGACTTGCCCAGGGTCACACAGCTAGTAAGTGTCAAGTGTCTGAGGCTGGATTTGAACTCAGGTCTTCCTGACTCCAAGAGCTCTGTCTGCTGTGCCACCTAGCTGCCCTGAACTTTGTGCGTGTAACAGAAGAGAGTCTAGGTGTTCTCGCCATGTCCATAAAGAGCTGTGTCAGTGCTAAGCCCCTGGAAACCCAGTGGAGCCTTCTTGTGGTTGAGGGCCCAGGCAGTAAAATACTCATGGAGAAAAGACAAATGAAGTGAACACTTCTAACAGCTAAATGATAGGCTTCCCTTACAGGGTCATCAGAGCTCCAGCCCCCTCTGGACCCGGGCTCTGCAGGACAAAAAGAAAAGTCCCAGGTGGAAGGACAATGGAGGGAGGCCATTCAGGGGGTCAGGGAGGGCATGGAGGAATGGAAAAGCCGGCCCAGGCTTGGACCAGGGGGAGATGGACGCACAGATGCCCTCCTTGGGAGATGCTGGACCTCATTCTGGGCCACCAACTGCCCTGTTTCTGGGCCAGAACTGGGGGGAGCGGGGGTCACTGTGGGATGAACGAGGGCTGTCTGTTTTCTGGTACAACCCAAGCTAACATGGGGTGGCCGGTGCCCCTTCCTGAAGACTCACCCTTGGATGTTATCTGCTGCCTTCCTGGCCAGCCCAGGCTGGAATGCAGCAAGACCAGTCTGGCGGGCCTGGGAAAGGCGTTTTGAGCTCGAGAGCAGGTGCATTGGAAGCGCAGCGGTCGCTCTTGGGCACTCGTCCCTAGCCTTTTGGTTGTGGGGAGGACTTTCCCCCTTTTCGTTTAAAAGATGTTTAATCGATGCCCATATTTAAAACATCTGTCACTCGCCGATGACTCCCTGCCCCTGTTAGAGCCTGCCTAGTCACAAAGGACTGGTCGGCTAACAAAGCCATTTCTTGGCGAATTCTAACCAAGTATGCCTCGTTCCTCCTCCCTGGCCACCACCTCTCTTCCTGGTCTGTCTTGTAACTCCAGACTGGTCACTGCATTGTTTTGACTACATGACTGCGGCCATTGTGCAGATTTATCTGTGGACTTCTACATCCATTTGTACAAGGGCTGCCTTTTCAATATCAGAATGTTCCTTGGGCCTCGTACGATGATAATTGTATTTTTGGTGCCCGTGGATCGAGAAATTTCCTAAGGACCCAGAGCTCAGAAGCCAAGCACCAGGGGTATGACTCCTATGCCTCGGCCCGTCATTCAGGTCATTCAGTGAAGGGAGATCAAAGCCCGAATGCAATGGTCAGTGCTCCTAGGATACGCCAGACCAGGCTTTGTCCCTGCTCTAGGGATGATCTGAGCCCTGAAGAGCCTTTGGACCCAAGGACACAGGGGAAGGCTTTCTCATCTTCCACTAACAAACTTATCTCCATGAACCAGCGAGTTCCTGGTGGTGGAGTGGCCACAGGCAAACCCGCCGTGGACGACGTCTGTGGGGTTTTCTTGGCAAAGATACTGGGGTGGCTCGTCATGTCCTTCTCCAGTGTGTCCCCATTTTATAGATGAGGAACTGAGGCAAATAGGAGCCCAGGGTCACACAGCTGCAAGTGTCTGAGGCTGGATTGGAACTCAGATCTTCTTGACTCCGGGCTCAATGCTCCATCCACGGCACCACTGAGCTGCCCCTGCTTTACACAGTAGGTGCACAATACAGTTGGGGTGTTTGACACTGTGTCCTGCTTACTGAATGGGGAGCTAGAATCCTAGGTATGAGCTGGGAGGCTATAAAGTAAAAATTCCTGTTACTGTCCTTACAGAAATAGCTTATTCTCTATTTCCCAAGGTAGGCCACGCTTTCTTTCTTGCCTTGGGCTCTGGGCCACTTTACTCCCTGGTGATGCCATGCTGTTATGCCCTCTGAAGCCTCCTTTTCTGGCTCTCCTCACAGATTTAAAATAAAGTTCAAATTCATTCGCCTGACATTCAAGGCCTTCAACAACCAGGCCCCAGTCTCTCCCGCAGTACCCCTGTGCATCTGTCCATAGAAGCTATTCGCTGTTCTTCATACATTCTCTTTATCAGTAATTCTGATCTTGCTTGGAAAGCCCTTCCCCCCACCCAGATCCCCACCACCACCTTCTGTCCTTTAAGACCCAGGCCCAAGGCCGCCTCCCCATTGCCCCCGGCCTCCTTTGCTTCTGTGTCACTCGCAGTTCTCATCCCACATTTCTGGTATTCCAGACATCTCCCTCCTCTCCTCCCTGTTCAGCTCTAAACTCCTTGAGGGCAGGGGCACGTCTTAGATGATTCCTTTTTCCAGTCTGTGTGTATAGTAACTAACAGAGAAATGAAAGTTTAAGTGAAGGAAACAGCATCAGCCCCCGAGACACATTAGCAGCTCAGTGCTGCCACTGCTGAACCTTGTAAAGTAGATGTGGGGGATTTTACTCCTGCTCTGACTCTTCTGTTAAAATGGCTCTGAGGGGGACAGCTCCCCAGCCTGGTGTGGGGGGAAGTACACTGGACCGTGGAAGCCAGAGATAATGGGTTCTGGGACTATTCACGCTAGTGGGTGAAATGACCTGTATCCCAAACAGCTGATTAACCTTTATATCTATCATATAGGACCAAGAGATGGCCGATTAATTCCCATGTTATCTTTTGCTTAGGTTAGGTATTAAAATTGGTCTGTATATGCTCTTTGTGTGGGGGCAGAGAATCAGAAATCAAGGTGATGTCCATCGGTTGGGGAAACAAGTTATAGTATATGATTGTGATGGAAACCTGTTGTGCTGTAAGAAACGAGCAGGATGCTTTCAGAAAAACCTGGGAAGACTTACATGAACTGATGCAAAGTGAAGTGAGCAGAACTAGGAGACCGTGGTGTACAGTAAAAGCAGTGGTGTGCAGTGATCGACTCTGAACGACTTAGCTGTGCTCAGCAGTACAGTGATCCAAGACAGTTCTGAAGGACTCGTGATGAAACATGCTGTCCACCTCCAGAGAGAACTGGCGAAACTGAGTGCCGACTGAAGCATGATTGTCTCGCTTTCTTTATTTTTCTTGCTTTCTGAAAAGAATATGGCTGATATTCACAATTTATCCTATTGCTTGACTTCTTAGTGGATGTGGGAGAAGGTTAAAGGGAGGGAGAGAATTTAGAACTCAACATGTAAAAAGAAAAGAATACTAATAAATAATTGAATGCTAAAAAATAAAATCAGTGTTCCTAGATGCCTGTTTGCAGTAGGGGAAACAAAGTAAGGCGAGGGGAGGGAGGAGGGGAACAAGGTAGGCTAGCTAGCAGAGGAGACGGTCGTCAAGAACTTTAAATCTTCCCCTGATGGTCACAGCTAGGGCTTAGGGAATCGGTTATTGACTGCATACATGGGTGTATGTTTGTATGTACGCGTGTACATGTGTGTACTGTAACAACATCAGGTCACAGATGTAGGAGTTCGGAAAGACCTCATCCAGTCCAACACCTTCATTTTACAGATGAGAAAACTGAGGCTTGCAGAGTAGATAAGTGACTTAAGCTTGAAGGAAGCTTAGAAGTTTTCAAGTCCAACCCTTTTGTTTTAGAGAGGGGTAAACTGAGGACCCGAGAAGGGATGTGACTTTCTCAGAGTCACACAGGTACCAAGTGGCATTTGGATTCTCTTAGTTATAATTTTTTTATTGGAATCTTAATGATTATCAACATTAAATAGGAAAAATGACTGACTTTTTGAGGGCACTTTACCAGCAGCATCTCATTCGGGCCTCAGCAACCCTGGGAGGGAAGATGTTGGAGGTATCATTATTCCCATTTTGCTGATGAAGAAGCTGAGGGAGGTTTGAAAAGTTAAGTGACTTGTCCAGGGTCAAAGAGCTGGTAACTGTCTGAGGAACATTTCATGTAGGTTTCCTGACTACACGTCTATCACAGTCTTTTTTTAATTTAATTTTTTTTTTAATGAATAACGTTTTATTTTCTCTCCCTCTCACTTGAGGCTTGTCACATAGGCATAACCAGGCATAACAAATTCCTGCACCGACCATGTTTAAAAACTGTATGCCTCATTCTTTATCCTCGGTCCATCACCTCTCTATCAAGAAGTGGGTGGCCCGCTGGATCATTATCCTCTGAAATCACAGTTAGTCCTTCCAGCCCTCTTCCCTGTACTCCACACTGCCTCTCAGTGAGAAAAACGTGGAAATCTATAAAAACCCTTACCTTCTATTGTTTATGAAAAGATGAAATGCGTGTGAAAAGAATAGCCGGCTTTCTTTTGCTTCTTCGTCCCTGCCGATCTTTTGCTTCCAGGAAGGGTTAGCGTTCGTTGTAGTTCGATGTGACCTCTCACTCTGCCTTTTCAGCAGCCTATGTATTGGACGTTCCTCACACCCAAACCGACTGCCGCGTGTCCAGCCCCACTGGTCCAGCCCTGGCCTGGGGCCCAGACACTGAGGCTGCTCTTTGGTTCCTCTGGTCTGTGCCAAGCTGGGAGGAAGCTTTTTGCCCAGAGTTTGGGGGTTTTGTCTTCAGTTTCTCAGCCTCGCCTTGATGACCTCTCCTCTCTCCCCCAGGTCCGGACCCTCTTTGTCAGTGGCCTCCCTCTGGACATCAAGCCTCGGGAGCTTTATCTGCTCTTCAGACCATTTAAGGTATGTGTGAGTGTCTGCCTCAGACTTGGTATTCTTTTGCCTCCTGAACCACTCTTGTAGATGGAATAGGCCGAGACCCTCCCAAAGTTGACCCACGGTTCCGACTCTTCATCTGGCATTTATCAAGCACCTGCTGCATACCAGGGTGCTGGACGAGTCCAGAATTCGCTGCCGCGGGAGCCTCCAGCCTGGCAGGACAGGCACGTACATGAGGATGTACAAGATTTAGAGGGGAGCATGGGGGAGGCATCCTGGGGGGTGGGGTGCTGAGAAAGATTTCCTACAGACCCTGAACTTTAAAGGAGACTGGGTACCCCCCGAGAGGCCTAGGGGAAGAGCAGGGCATTCTAGGCGAGGGATTAGAGAGGAGAGACTGGCATGAAGGCCAGTTTACCCAGCCCCTGGAGTGTGTGAAGAGAGTAATGTGTGATAAGCCTGAAAAGGCAGGCTGGAGGCAGGGGTGATAGGGGGCTACCAGAGGTCGCTGAGCAAGGGGAGGCTTGAGGCTGAGGGGCCAAGGGGAGGGGGCAGAGCTGGATCAGGACCTGGGGAGTTTAGGCAGGGCTGAGGTAGAGGGGGTGAGAGGCCGGGCAATTTGAGATCGGTGGAAATCTAATATCCTAGGAGTTTAGATGGCAAGAAGCTGGGAGTCGGCTGGCCACGGGGAGGCCGGGGGAGAGGGGTGCCGAGGCGTGCCATGGTCCTTTGGCCTGGGACACTGCTCATGGGAATGCTGTCATGGCCGAGCCGGTATGTCTGCTTTCTTGCCAGTGTCTGGGAAGAGTAAGCTTGGGCTGTGTCAGTGACTTCCTCCTGGGTGGGGTCTTTGGGCTTGGCCTGGCTCATTGCTGGGGGGGCAGGCCCCAGGGCTCTGCTTCCAGAGGGGACACAGGAGAGGCCTCAGTTTGATTTGGTGGTGTGGGGCAGTTCCCAGTGTGGAGCCTCCCTCCCCCAATGCAGGCTGGCATCTGCTCCTCATTTGGCTTTGGCAGGAGGTGACGGGGGCAGGGCTGGACCTGCCCCCTTGCTGACGCTATCTGGGCTTGCCTCTTCATCCAGGGAAGACTCTCAAAGGCCCCCCTGCTGCTCCTCTTCAGCTGTCCCAAGCCGACAAGGCCTCTGAGGTCCCTTCTAGTGCTAAATCTATAATCCTGTGAAGACACTTAGCTTTTCTAGGCCTTAGTTTCCTTACCTGTAAAATGAGTGGATTGGACTGGAGGGCCTCTGAGGTCCCTTCCAGTGTGAGATGTCCTTGAGTCCTTCCGCTCTCCCCTCCCCAGATAGCCATCCCCTGTAACAGAATGCATGTAGGAGCTGGTCACATGCAGCCCTCTTTCCTGTTCTTTGTGTCTGGGGATTTTCAGATTTGTCAATGACTGTCAAATTCATAGTAAAAAAAAAGTTATTTTAAATGGTTTTTTGTTTAAAAAAAAAAAAGTAAGGAAAAATGTCCCCTTAGCTCTAGGGCCCTGTACATATGTTCCTGAGGCTTTGAGGAGGTGGAAGGAAGGACAGTCTCTTCTGCCTGGTCGGATGTGGGAATGGACCTGGCCTGGCGGTGGCTCAGGACACCTGGCTTTGAGTCGGGCGTCTCCACTGCCCAGCCAGGGGACCTTGGGCAAGCCCTCCCTGCCTCAGTTTCCCCCTCTGTCAAGTGAACGGCTGGGCCACCAGCTCAGCAGTGCAATGATTGTGTTCTGGGCACACACCTGCAGCTGCTGGTGGGCTCTGTCTCTTTCTGCTGTCATCTGTCAGCTATCTGACCTCCTTCTCCTTCTGTCTTTTCAGGGCTATGAAGGTTCCCTAATAAAGCTGACATCCAAGCAGGTAAGAGCCCCCACCTTGGTCCGGCGTGAGACAGCAGCTGCCCAGGCTCTGCATTTGGGCTCTGGGGCTCCCCCAGAACACACCCAGGAATTAGCTGGCGGGTCTTCCTCACTGGGGATAGGATGCATCGGCCACCAAAACTGAGCTGGACGGTGAATGCCCTGCCCTTCCCTCCTCTCAGGCCTCCGACGCTGGGTGGGTCAGGTGGCGCAGTGCCCTGGGGAAGGCAGAGTGCAGCCTCGGCGGCCTGAAGCCCTGGGTTTGAATTCCACCTTTACGGTTCCCGTGGTGGTGGCTGTCAGATTCGGGGGAGATCACAGCTGTCAGGCAGTGCCTTCTCTGTAAACGCCAGTCAGAGGATGCTCGATCTTGAGAGGTCAGCGGGTCCAAGCCCTCAGTTCACGCTCGTGGTTGCCCTCATGCTTTCCTGCGTTTAGGGATGATGACCAGTCATTCTCATAACTCATGAATCCCACCGTGTCTGGTCCTTCGAAGAGGCTGCAGGCTAAGTTGAAGGCAAGCCTCTGACTATATTGCCGTGGCTTAGAAAGAATGAGAACCTGTCCCCCGGAGACAGCTTGCTCTGTGACCTGGGCCTGTCCTATCTCCTGGCTCTCCCTCAGTTTCCTCCAGGCTATAAGGAAGGGGTTGGCTTCCTTCCAGCCAACGTATGATCTGTGATTTGCTAGGATGGCGGTGGGGGGGCCGTGGGGGACATCAGTCTGAACATTGAGCTTGGTGACCCTGGGCACATCCCCATTCCCCCCTGAGCTGCAAAATCAGGCGGATCCTTGTACCCCCTGCCTCCTGGGCTCTGTAATCTTGTCTGCCTCCTAGCCCAGCCGTGCCCTTTCCCCTTCCCCTTGGCCAGAGGTGGGCTGCAGGGACGGAGGGCACAGAGCTGGGGGAGGGGCTGAGTTGTCCCAGCACACAATAACTCCCTACTTACGGGCGAGTGCTGAGTCACCCCCATGTGCCAGTCCTGTGCGCAACGAGTGGTTCCTACGTTAGCAGCTGCTAGAAACACTGGCTTGGAATCCTTGCTGGAGAGCGCTTACATACAGCATCCAGTCCGATTCTTTCTTTTCACAAAGAAGGAAGCGGCTTCAGTGACTTGGCTAAGCACTCGCTGAATTGAATGACTGAGTGTGACTGGTGAGGAGCGATGTCACCTGGGCACCCGGGGCCAACTCTGGGTGCTGAAGGCGACGTGCGGGGCGTGGCCAAGTCCTCTTGTGATTACCTGTATTTCTTTGTTGCAGGGGAGGGGTCCGTTGGGGGGGAGGGGTCCGTTGGGGGCGGGGGATCGTCAGGAAGGAACATATCAAATCACTTACCCCGAGGGAAGGAAGCTCGTCTTGCCCGATGACGCCCCAGTGACGCCCGCTGCCTCCGAAGCTCTGTACGCACCCCCCCCCCCCCCGCTGGCCTCTGGCCCCCAGCGTCCCGCAGCCCGCCGCTCTGACCCTGCCCTTCTCTCGTTCTTGTTCACAGCCCGTTGGCTTTGTCAGTTTTGATAGTCGATCAGAAGCGGAAGCTGCTAAGAATGCGCTGAACGTAAGTACCGGATGGATGGCGCGGTCAAGGCCAGGCGGCCGCATCGTCCTCCTCCTGAGGGTCAGGAGGGCCTTTCTGGGTTCTCAGCTGCTCAGGCCCGTCTGGGTCTAACAGGCCTCCGTGTCCCCTCCGCTGCAGGAGTTTGCTGGGTGCCATTTTGATTTTTGGCAATGTTCTCTGGCAAGCTCAGAAGGACCTTCGACTTCCTAAGGGCCCGTGGCCTTGCTGAACATATACCTGCCCTAGTCTGAGCACAGGGCTTTTGTAAACATTAGGTGCTAACTAAATGTTGGTTGAATGAATGGGATGGGCAGCATTAGGGCAGAGGCATAAAGGGAAAGATACTCGTGGGTCTGGCCTGGCCAAGTTGTTGTGAACAGAAGGCACGCTCAGGCGTGGGCTGAGCTGGGTTCCAGGCAGAGCTCTGCCGGTGTCTCTGGGCTTCTCCCCTTTCCTCCCCTTCTGCCCTGACATCCCGAGGCCCTTTGACTAGTCCCCAGGGTTCCTCCGCAGTGGAGGGCTGTCTGCCCCTACGAGCAGTGACCATGGGCAGTTGCTGTTGTCCCAGGACTGGCATCTGGGGGGCCTCCTTGAGCTGTTGCCCCAGCTGCCCCATTGGAAACAATGAAGCAGCCCCAGTTTCCTGGATGCCCACTGTGAGCAAACAGCTCTGATGGGAGCAGGTAAAGCCACCTCCCATCCCCTCCTTCTCCACGCGCAGAGGCGCCTATAGTAGCTTCCCGTGGGCCTCTGCTTCCCCCGTCCATCCTATAGACCCGCCTACAGTGGCTTCCCGTGGGCCTCTGCTTCCCCTGTCCATCCTATAGACCCGCCTACAGTGGCTTCCCGTGGGCCTCTGCTTCCCCCGTCCATCCTATAGACCTGCCTACAGTGGCTTCCCGTGGGCCTCTACCTCCCCCGACCATCCTATAGACCTGCCTACAGTGGCTTCCTGTGGGCCTCTGGCTCCCCTGTCCATCCTTCTCCCAGCTGCCAGGGGAGAGCTCTAAATGCCTGGTGAATCTCAGTTCTTCTGTTGGCTTGTCAACAGCTCGGGGGCAGGGACTTCCTAGCTTACCTTGGTCCCCCCAGGGCCAAGCACAGCGCTTGGAGTTAATTTTCTTACCCATGAGCCCATTGCTGCTGAGAGCCAGGAGATCATGGGATCCTTGGCTGGCTGGTCAATCAATCCATAAACATGTATTAAATGCCTGCTATGTGCCAGGCATTGTGCTAAGTGCCAGGGATACAAAAGAGAGGCAAAAGACAGTCCCTGCCCTCAAGGATCTTGTAATCGAATGAAAGAGACAGCATGCAAACAGATAGCCCAGCCGTCTTGTTTGACAGATGAGGAAACCATGGTCCAGAGTTGCTCAGTGACTCGCCTAGGGTCACACAGTCTGTACGTGCCAGGGGCAGGATTTGAACCCACACCTCTGCCTCCAGGTGGATCTGTTTAACTGGAAGTTTTAGGAGGCGCTCTTTGAAGGTCTGCAGGTGGCTTGAGCTCGGCCAGGGCACCCTGCCAGAGCAGCAGCTGTGAGCCCGATGACGGAAGGGGAGGAAGTGGGATTGCCAGACAGGGGAGGCATTGCCACTTGAGGGGGTGGGGAGTCAGTCAGCGAGGCCAGGAGGCTGGAGACACTGGACCCAAGGGTGTGTGTTGGGGAGGAAGGTGTGAGAAGACTGGAAAAGGTAGGAGGGCACTAGGTTATGAAGAGCTTTGAATGCCAAACAGCATCTTGGATTTGATCCCAGAGGCAGTAGGGAGCCGTGGGAGCTCATTGAGTATAGGGGTGACATGACTGGATGGGTGCTTTGGGAAAATCACTTTGGGGCTTAAATGGAGGATGGGCTAGGAGGGGGAGAAACTGAGGCAGACAGACCATTGCCTCTCAGGTGATGAGGTCTGCCCCAGAGTGTCAAGTGCTTTTCAAACCTTAAAGTGCTATATAAATGTTATTAATCTTATTTCTAAGGTGATTTGAAATTTTAATGCGTTTTATGTGCTTGCATGTGTGTGCCACATGTATGTGAGCACAGAGATTCAGTGGCATTGAGCCGAGGGAGGGAGAGGCTGTGGAGGAGGTCATCATCACTGTTTCCCTGCTTGACCCGCGTGCTGGCCTTGACTGACCCATCTACACTCTTGGCCTGTGACAGCTGGCCAAGGGTCAGAGGTTGAGCACAGACAGGACTGTGCGTGGCCCACGATTTCTCCTCTGACTGTCCCATCTGTCACTTAGCTAGCCTGCGACCCACCCACCAGGGGCTTGGATGCAGCCCAGTCCTGGCCCTTCTCTCTATCTTGGATGGATGTAATGCCTCTGCTTTGGTCTTCTTCCCTCTTTCTGACTAGCAAGTGAGGAAGCCTTTCAGGTGACTCCTCCACGTTGTAAAATCCAGTAAAACTTGCCTGTTTCCCACTGAGGGGAAAGGTTCTGTCTGAACAGGGGAAGAGCAGATGCAGCTCCACTGAGAGTCAGCCTGTTGTGGGCAAAGCCATGTGCCAGGAATCAGGACCATGATGGTGCTCCGTGACTTTGTGGGGTGGGGCAGACCATGGCTTGATCGGATCGGGCACCAGCAGCTGGCCGTCCCTTGCGTTCCTCCGTGTTGGTGCGTTCATAATAATCAGAGCTGTCCAAAGGTGCTGCCGTGGGCCATGGTGGGCTTCCCCTTGGCTGCTGGTCATTGGGCCAGAGCAGGGGGCCACCCGCTGGAGATGCGGGTAGATGGGGTCTCCTGTTGAGTTGGGGCCAGGGCTGGCTTCTGAGGCTGCTTGCCACTGTGGTCTGGGACTTGTGTTTGGCTTACTCTTTCTGTGAGATAATAATGAGGGGTGAGGGTGGGATTCAACATTTATTAAGCGCCGGCTGTGTGCCAGGCATTTCACCGAGCACTTAATAAATATCGTCTCCTGTGATGTCACGGACTGCCCTGGGAGGCAGGTGCTATTGAAGGAGGTTTTCCAGTCCCTTAGGTGGTACAGTGGAGGTAGTGCTCAGCCTGGAGCCAGAAAGACCTGAGTTCAAATCCTGCTTCAGCCGCTTACTAGCTCAGTGACCCTAGGCAAGTCACATCTGCACTTTAAACCTCTAAAGGGGGACTAGAAATGTCATACTTCATGGAGTTAGCGTAAGAATCCAAAGCGATAACAGGCCTTAAAGCGGCAAGCCTATGAAAGCTGTTGTCTTTGTTGTTGTTTTCAGGATCTTATTCGCCCACCGCCATCATCATCATCCTCATTATTCTCATTTTTCTCTTGCATGTCCATGGCAAGCACATTTCTCCCGGTCCAGCTGGCTTCCCCCAATCAGCATCAGGTCATGCTGAAGTCTGGGTAGATGGAGGGCTCTGGAGGGCCTTCCAGGCCAAGGACAAGCCTACAGTTATCCTTCTGTGTGGACTCCTTCTTGTCTTAGCTCATGTGGCTTCATCAATCAGACTGGAAGCCAGTTTGAGGGCAGGGCTGGGCCATAGGCTGGTGGAGCTGGAAGGGACCTTGGTGGTAGGTCTTCTAGCCCATCTCCCATTTTACAGATGAGGAAACTGAGGTCACAGTTTGGGTGAGCTGAGAACGTTGGTAAAGGAGATCCCGTTGGAGCTGAGATTTGACCCCGAATCTTCCAGTTCTGAAACTGGGCTCTTGGGACCATTCTTTAATATGGAACGCCCCCACCATTGCGAGGCCAGTGGGCCTTGGATGAAGGAGTTCTGAGCAAAGTTAATGGGTTCTTCTGCTGACCTGTCAGCTGGGGGAACAGTGAGTCCTGAGTTGTTGTTTCCCCCCTTCCCGAAGCCCCAGGCTCCTGGAGGATCCTCTTGGACTTGGGCCTTTGGCCCCTTTGACAGAAACCAGCTCCTCCTTCCTCAGGGATGCGGCTGTCACTGGCAGACAGCAGCCACACCGCTGGTGCTGAAGCCAACACCCCCCGCCCCCGCCCCCTGTGCAGGCCTCACATGGACCAAGTGGTGTTTTTCATGTCCCAGTGTGAGTGATGCAAGAGGTGTAGGAGAAAGGGGTTTTCTCAGGTTCAGAGAGATGTGGGATTGGGGGGAGAAGGGAGAGGGAAGACAGGCTGCTTTATGAGAGAGAGAGATACGGACATGGAGAAGAGGAGACAGACAGATGGGAAAGAGGAAGAGGGATAAGGAGGGACAGAAAGAGACAGGACGAAGGAGGGGCCAGGGGAGAGAGACAGAGAGAGAGGGAGGAAGAGACAGACAGACAGAGAGAGAGAGAGAGAGGGAGAGCAAAAAGGGAAAAGGTGTAAGGAGGAGCCCCAGCTTAGGTTAGGGAGAGTTTCTTTGCATGCCCTGAGGAGCAGGCAGCGGGCAGGCTCTACCTCCCTGGAGGTCTCTAGCAGAAGCTGGTCGAGCGCGGATGTTGGGAGGAAGGCTCTGAAGGGCATTTCAGGCCTGGGTTTCTGTGGTTCTGGAATAGGAGAGTCACCAAATGTTTGAGCCACAAACAGGTAGCTGAGGAGTCAGGAAAGGCCTTGGATATAAGGTGGAGCAGAGCCCCCTAGGAGGGCAAGGGGTGGCCAGGGCACTCCTCACTCATGTCCTTGCCCCATTTCCTCCTTTGAACCTCCCCTCCCTGCTCCATCTTGAGCTACAAAATCCTAGACTGTGAGAACATGGAATGCCCAAGTTGGGAGGGGCCTTAGAACAGGATGTCAGATCCAGGGGAGACCCAAATCCTAAGCATGTCAGAGCTAGGAGGAACCTGGGACCATTGAGTGTTCAAAGATGGACTGTAGGGGTCAGAGGAGAAAATGGAGGGTGGAAGAAGGGAAGGGAATTAGGAAGGGATTTACCCAAAGTCACGCATACGGGCCTTAGAGAAACTAGTGACTCTACAGGATTGCACAATGCTAAGACACCCACGCTCGCATCCAGCCCCACATGATTGCACAGCTGGGCCTCCATATTGGCAGGTGGAGGGGCAGCCCACATGCCCAGCCTCTGCTTGGCCCTGGAATGTCACCTCGGAG